CCGCGGGCTGGCAGTGCGGGCGCTGCTGTGGCGCCTGTGGCTCCGGGGCCGGAGGTGCTCGAGGAACAGCCCCCTGGAGCTCCGGGAGGTCAGAGGGTCACCCCTCCTGCCTCCTGCCTGCGCTGGCGTGTTGGGAGGTCGCTCACGGGTCCTTGGTTTGTTTTCTCAACTTCCTCGCTCCTGGCTTCTAGCATGGGCGTGGTTTTCGGATGTCTGCGTCTGCTGCGGGTTCAGGTACCTGGGGCTGACCCGAGGCCCGTCTTGTCACGTGGGCTGGGTCCTGCTGGAGGCGGCCAGGGGTGGGCAGAATGACCCAGAAGGTGTCCATTGACGAACAGGTTGAAACTTCACTTTCTCTGATCAAAGTCTTCATTTAGGTTTTTGTCAGGTTTGCGTTGATGCTCTAGTGTTTCATCCAGAGGAAGGTAATGACTTACAGGAACCCAAGTTCTTGTGTGTGGGTTTTTTTAAGAAGTAGCTGTTTAGACCCTTGAAGGACGGTTGAAGGTTAGTGACCTGGAGCGACCCCCAGGGAGCCAGGCGCCATTCCTTGGCCCTCCTGTTGGGAGCCTGGGGGCTCGCCAGGGAGAGGGGCAGAGTCTGCTGGCCACCGCAGGCACTGGGCTCACCGTCCGCCTCTCGCACGGGCACGCTGCAGCCAGAGGAGGCCAGGGCTGGGCCGTGCCCGGGCCCTCTGTGGCTTATGCTGGCCAGCACCGCTCAGGCACCCAGACGGCACCACTTACGGGTCCCCGCACCAATGCTTCCGGACAGGCTGTTCTGGAGTGAGCGGAAGATCACCAAGGCCAGGGAGTGGTTCCACCGCACGGTCAAGATTGACTCGGACCTGGGGGACGCTTGGGCCTTCTTCTACAAGTTTGAGCTGCAGCACGGCACAGAGGTGAGGCGCCACACACGGTGGCCGGCGACTGGGGTGTGGCCGCACAGTACCAATGGGGGTGGTGTTCAGGCCCTAAAGATTCACCTCGTGCCCCAGCGAGTTTTGTCCTACACGTGAGCCGGGGGCAGTGTGCAGGGAAGCCTAGGCAGCAGCCGCTCGTCCCCACCGCCCCCAGCACCAAACATTGTCAAAGTTGTGCTCGTGGGGGTGGGGGATAGCCAGGCTGTCCTGGGGTCCCCACGGGAGGTGGGAGCTGTGCCACGTGGAATCTGGGCAGCGCCTTGTGCAGAGAAGGCAGGCTCGGGGCACTCGGGCGCGGCACAGACGTGGGCTGGACTTGGCTCCGCACGTGTGTACTGACATCAGCTCTGGGGAGGGTCCGTGTGGTGGGGCTTGCCCCGTGGCGGAGGGACCATCTTGACGAACACACCGGGAAGACTGCTCTGCCCCCTTGCCAGCCAGGCCCGGACCTGTGGAGCTGGGTGAGCGTGCTGGGCCGAGCAGGGGGCTCGCCTGACTCACATGCCCCCTGGTCCCTGCCCAGGAGCAGCGAGAGGAGGTGAGGAGGCGCTGTGAGAACGCCGAGCCCCGGCACGGGGAGCTGTGGTGCGCTGTGTCCAAGGACATCGCCAACTGGCAGAGGAAGATCGGGGAGATCCTCGTGCTGGTGGCGGCCCACATCAGGAACACCTTCTGAGGGTCCGTCCAGGCTCTGTGGCCGCGGCCCTTGGGGCAGCACGTGCAGGAGCACGAAGTGGTGGGAGGGTGGAAGGGGCCCCAAGCTGTCTGTCCTGCTCTTTAATTAAAAGTTTTCCAGGTAGCGTGTCCGGGTTGGTGCCCTGCAGGTGTTCTCCGCGCCGCCTCCCCCCACGAGCAGACTCAGGTTTGCGACCCTAGTCGGCTCACTGAGGTTCCTGTTTTCACGGGGGCCACTTGCAGACGGCCTCTGTACCTCAGAGGAAGCTGTGTGCCTCCCTGGGAGAAGGGGCTGGGCAGGTCACGTTCTGGGAGCAGCTGGGACAGGCTCTCCTTTGTCCCCTTTGGGTGGGGGGCACCCTGCAGGTCTGCCCACCCGGGTAGGTAACTCTCCTAAGCAATGCAGACACCAGGCCCCACTTCCTAACATGCCTTCCACAGTGTGTTGCTAAGGGGTACCTGTGAGGCCCCTCGGGTGTGTGCTGAAGGGAAATGTGACCAGGAAGCGATTTTCTCACATTTGCGCGTGGATAAGTTTTTGCTGATTTATAACCAGCAGTTTTGCTCTGAAGCACTTAAAACTGCGCATATCTCCGGGTTGAAAGATGCGTGACCTGGGAGGCTTAGCGTGTTCTCACTGCGAATGCTGTGTGAGGAAAAAGGCCTTGCTCGGGCTCTGGGCCCTGAGTGTGTGTCCATCTGGAAACCAGCGATTCTCTTAGGGGGGTGCAGACACGTGGCCAGAGGCCGTGGGCTGCCGGGAGGCCGTGGGTCGCGGAGAGGAGATGCTGGTTGTCCCATACAGGGCGGAGAAGAGTAGTGGCAGCTGCTCCCCCATGTCATGTGAGAAGACTGTCGAGCAGCCCCTGGGTGACATGGATGAAGTGTTGTGGTGGGGCTCAGTCATGGACCCGTGGCTCAGCCCCTGCCCGGGTGGCCCGCGTTGGGGAGCACTTGCCTTGACGTTGCTCCTGAGGCACAGGCACCTTTGCCTGGAGAGCGCAGGCCCCGCTGGGTCCACCTCGGTCGTGCTGGGAGCTCAAGGACGCCACCAGCCCAGAGTGGGCGGCAGACCACCCGTGTGGCCTGGGTCTCCCTCACAGACTGTGGGTAGGGAGACGCCTCTTCTTCCCACCCCGAGGAGGGCCAGGCCTGAGAAGCAGTGCGGGGAGGCTCACAGGGTCTTCACGGAGACTGAAGTGTCTCCTTCGATCTCCTGGAGGAGGCGAGGGGGATCCTGCCTGTTACACTGAAGATGGGGTCCTGAAGCTTTGGAGACCTTGAAAACCAGCCAGTTCTACACAGACATAGAAACCAGGGCCCTGGCAGAAACAGTGACTTGGCCATGGTCGCGGGGGTGGCTGGCACCCTTCTGTGCCCTGAGATGGACGTGGCTTCTCCCCCACACCCCTCTGAGCTCGCTGTCAGGTGAGGCTTTCTGCAGAGCCCTCGCAAAGTTCCATTGCGTCTGGACCATCCGGTGTGAATGGCATCTTCTCCTTCTCCTTCTCCTTCTCCTTCGTTTGCTCTGAAGTGCTGAGACCGCTTTTCTCCCTGGGAAAAGAACAGACTGTGGGTTTCCTACAGCTGACGCTTCTTCAGTCCAGCTCAGGGCACGTTGGCTTCTGGAGGCTGCCCTTGTTCTGCGGCGTGGGCTGGAGGGATGACCAGCTGGGCACTGCCAGGTAGGGGTATGGCAGCCCAGCTCCGGGAGAGCCTTTTATGGCAAGCGGCCACGACTGCCACCAGCAGAAGACCTCCTCAGCCCAGGAGGGCTGAGCGGCAGGAGGAGCCTGGGACGTCCCACACCTGGGACCTGCGGGGGCCGGTGTCTGTGACGGAGCTTGGGGCTTAGGTCCAGCTCCCCTTGTTCTGCCGGCAACCAGGTTCCCAGAAGAGGCAGCACCTACTGACCGCTGAGGAAGGCCCCCGTGGAGGGGTGCACAGGCCCTTGGCCTGTTCTGGCTGCCCCCCCCCAGATGGGCCCTGCCCACCAGACACCCCACCGCTGCCTCAGCTGAGCGTATCTTCCTGGGGCTGATGGCTTAGTCCGAGACCCACTGGGTGGGAAGAGAGCCCGCAGCTGCTGGGCTCCAGGGTCAGGTTAATTGAAGAAGCAATTGGATAGGAGGTGGGGAGAGGGAGGGGGTAGGGCTGGGATCCTGGGGCCTCCCTCCCGCTCCCTCCCTCCTTTGCTCAGAGGAGCCAACTTCAAAAGCCTTGTCTGCCTGCCGCCAGCCCGCCCTGCCTCAGCCTGTCCTGGGAAGCCCTGCTGGCCAGGCTTGGAGCAGGAGGCCCTGGAGCGGCAGCCACACTCCCTACCTGAGGACCCAGGATCATGTGGAAGGCCCACCGCCGGGAGTGAGGGAGGGCCTCCCCCTGAGAGGCCCATGGTGAGCCGCGCTGGGCAGTTGAGGGACTCACCCACGGCCGCGCTGCGGAGGGTTAGGGAGTGAGTGCAGCCTGAGGGAGGCTCTGTGACCTTCTGTGCCCTACTGGGAAATCCCCCTTGGTTCCGGTCACCTCGGCCTGCCAGACCTGGACCTGGGTGCTCTTGCCTGTTGTTCCCGGCAGGGGCGGGGGGCGGGGGATGTGGGGAAGGATGGGGTCTCCTGGCCCCCCAGGTCAGCCTTCTAGTGCCAGGGCTGCCCTGTCCTTCCTGGCTGGGCTGGGAGGTGGCCAGCCTGCCCCACGTGGCTCTCCCTTCAGCACCCACAGCTCTGGCTTTGGCTGGACCTCTGACCTGCTGGGCATGCCTGAGGGCAGCTTGGAGGAGGGGCCCCAACAGATCGAGTCTGCTCCTCCTGCCAGTGCCGCCCCCTGGGGCTCTGTGCGGATGGGGTGCTGCTCAGGCTCACCCCTGGGCCAGGAAGCGGAGTCGAGTTCTGCGTCTCGCTGGCTTCACAGGATTAATTTTCCAGTGGCTGTTGGACTCTTGCCTGGGGGCCTAAGGGTGGGTGTGTGGCCCCGGGTTTGGGAACTAGCTGCTCTCTGTGTTTGGTGCTTGGGGTTCTGGGTGGGGGTGGGCTTCTCCCCGAGCCAGGCCCTTCTGGAGGGGGAGGCCTGGAGAAAGAGTGATGGGGCCACAATGCGGCCCCTTCCTCCCTTGCCTCTGGGGGTTTCCCCAAGCCTTCCCCTCCCAAAGGGGTGTGGCCTTGAGCGCTGAGCCCTCAGCCCTGTCCTGGTTGGGCTGCAGGTGCAGGGGTACCCCGTTTCCCATGGCTGTGAGAGCTGGTTGTGACAGCTGTTGGTGAGGAGTGGGAGTAGGTCAGTTCTGCCCCTGCTCTGGGGACCCACAAGTGAGCCGTGTTCTGGGGAGCAGGGGCTGCTCCTCTGGAGGAGAGCCTGGGGCTGCTCCTCTGGAAGAGAGCCTGGGGCTGCTGGGGGTTGTGTTGGGAAGTGTGGGGATGAGTTCAGGTATGGCCCAGGGAGAGGCTGTCCCTAAACTGAGGTCAGCCCTGCCCCGCAGCCTTCCAGGCTCTCGGCCCCGTGCTCCTGCCTCTGGAGCCCCTGTCTCCTCCTGGCTCAGTGGGCCTGCCTTCCCAGGCCCCCGCCCCGTGCCCATATCATCCACCCCATAGATCTCTGCATGAGCGCTGAGCTGTCTGGTTTGCAGGCCCACTGTCTGTCTGTCCTGCTAGATCCATGCCTAGTCCTGAATGGCACAGCGACAGCTCCGTTGTATACCAGCTCCGAGACCCCCGGGATGGTTGTCTTGGGGGACTGTCCAAAGCAAATTGCCTGAGGGGTGGCCAGAGGGGAGGCCCCCTGTACAGGCCTGGGCACCCCACCCTGACACCGAGTCCCTTCCAGGTGCCTCCTAAGCCTGCGCTCTGGGCAATCCTGCTGGCTCTGCTGGGAATGGTGCCAGGCCAGTCCAGGCTCCGCACCTGCAGCGTCCCTGAAGTGCTCCGCCACTATCGCGCCGTCATCTTTGAGGACCTGCAGGCAGCTGTGAGGCAGGCTGGGCCAGGGGCAGAGTGGCCTGGGCCAGGCTCCCCACACCTCCGTTTCATTCACAAAAACCTGACTGGAGCTGCGGGCCCTGCATGGCGGGGGTTGGGGGGAGCTGTCTGCAGTGCCCAGAAGGTACGGAGTCCACGCCCCCACCCCTGCCCTCTGGTCCCCTCTGGGGACCTCCCCACAGGGCTCTCCCCAGCCCCCACTTTCCTCCCTCCCTTCCCCAGGAGCACGGTATCCTACTGTCTATCGCGTCCCTGGGTCGGACCCTGCGCTGGGTGGTGGACCGGGGCCGCCGCGGGGCCCTGGAGAAGGCAGCGTGGACCATCGCCTTGCGCACCGAGGCGGTGATGCGGCGCCACTGCGGGATGCTGAGCCAGGTGCGCGGGCCCACAGCCGGGGCCCTCCCCTTCCCCCGGCGCCCCCCCTCCCCACCGCGCCTCCCGTGGCCCCGCGGGGGCACCGTCTGGGAGCTCCAGGGGCCAGACGAGAACCTGGGGGTGGGGGTGGGGGGACGGCGGGGACCGTGGGCACGCGCTGACCGTCCCGTCCCCGACAGCGGAGCCGGTGGCCCAAGACGCGCCCTCCCCGGAGTCGCAGCGGCCGGAGGCGGCTCCTCGTGCGCGCCCTGGACGCCGTCGCCACCTGCTGGGAGAAACTCTTCGCTCTGCGGGCGGCGGCCCCCGGGGGTCCCTAGCGCGCGTCCTGCGCGGGCCCAGGAGCAGCCGGCGGAGCCGCGGGGCCTGGGCTCGAGCTTCGTTTGGGGCCGAGCGCGGTCCCTCCCTCTGGTTGGCCCCGCGCGGGGTCCCGGCCTCTCCCGCGCCGCGGCCCGCGCTCCTCCGAGGGCCCGAGACCTGGAGATGATGCTCCGGGCGCCAGGCCAGGACTCAATAAACTGCTGGTGCTGCGCTCTGGTCGTCTTCCCTTCGCCCGCCGGCGGTGGGGCCGGCCGCCCCCGCATCTGCGACCGCGCGGGGAGTGGGCGCTGGGGGCCGCGCGGCGCCCGCCGGCAGAGCCAGCCCGCGCCCCGCACCTGCGCGAGGACTGCGGCGCTGCGCTCCCGGCCTTGGGCAGCAGGGGGCGGTCGGGACGCCGCGTGGGACTCCCCTTCCGGGCGGTCCGGGAGTGGGAGTGGGGGTGGGGGTGGGGGGGCTCTAGCGGGCCCTGAAATGTCCGGTATCCGTCCTGCTCCGCTCTGGAGTGGGGGAAGGGGTGGACACGGAGGGGAAGAGAGGGCCGAGCTTTGTGAATTCAGAGCAAAACAACCGGATAAAGGAAACGGGCCTGAAGGGAAGCCAGAGTCGCTGGCCCTGGCTGCAAGTGGGGCCAGGCCGTTTCCTGCGGCCCCGGGAGGGGCGGCCACGGTCCCCCCTCTGGACCCGGACAGGCTGGTCAGGGATCCACTCCTGTGCTCTGGGACCATACGTTTGCTCGGCAGGGTGCGGGGCTGATCCTGGACTCCCCAAGCCACAGCTGCAGAGACCTGGGTGTCCACGGCCCCCTCCCCAATCCCACCCGATGGGGAGGGAGAGAGGGTCAGGTAGAGAGCCCCCCGCCAAGGAGTTCGCCTGGTGGACCCAACACCCATCACACTGTTCTGTGGAAGTTGGACGGAGCCAGCAGGCAGCAGAGCAGGCCTTGCCTCTGGGGTACCCTGGCAGAGCAGAGACAGGCCGGGGATCCAGAGGGCCGTGGTGGCGGGGCAGTCCGCACTAGCACAACATGAAGAGCCAGACTAGCTGACCTGGACCCAGCTCCCCGCCGCACACGTGTGAGCACGTTTAGTCTGCGCGACGGAACAAGGGTCCCTGATGAGACCCAGGCCCTGGGAGGTCATCCCTTGTCCCGAAGCACACAGCCCCGAGCCTTAAGAGCTGGGCAAGACCCAGGCCTGGAGCACGGTTACGGCCCATGTGCGCCCTGTGCTCGGGGCGGGGAGCCAAGCTTCCCAGACCTCAGCGGGCCGTCAGTTGCTTGCCACCACAGTGTGCAGCTGCCCTGGGGGCCCCGTCGCGGGGTGAGGGGGACACCTACGGTGCAGGTACCGTGTGCCCCGTGGAGCATTCCACGGCTCTGGTGTCTGCAGCCCGCACTCCGTGTGTGTGCCATGGTCTGGAGCTCGGGGCCACGGAAGGAGGCTCAGTCGGGCTGAGGAAGTGGCCCGGGGCTGGAGGGTCTAAGCGGAGGGCGGGTGCTGGAGTCCAGATCATGAAAGATCCCTATGCCTTGCACGGACATGGAATGTGGGGCCGTGTGGTGGAGGTGGGGCCAAAGGAGGTGGGCTGGACATGGAGGGGTGAGGAGTGACCCAGGCAATGCCCAGGTCCTGGCCTGAGCGCCCGGATGTGTCCTCGTGTGGGCTTGGAGAGGGCTGGCAGAGGAGCAGACATGGGTGTTGCGGCTCCTGTCACTGGACTCCTCTGCCCTTGCCTGCATCTCGGGGTGGGAGGAAAAGTCCCAGTTTGGTTGGAGCATAAGTTAGGGGGCCACCAAGTTGAGGGCTGAGGGTCAGTAAGAGAGTGTAAGGGTGTGGGTGTAGGGACAGGAGGGGGACAGGCTCTTCATGGAGGCCCCCACCCTGCTCCTGTTTCCCAACAGGCTCCTTGCACTGAGGTCTGGCGCAGACCCAGAGCCTGAGGGGACAGCATTCCTCTCCAAGTGGCATCAGAGCACAACCTCTGGGGCTCAGGCCTACTGTCCACCCACAGTGCCGCCTTTCCGCTGCTGAGAGCAGCCAGGCCGTTCCTGGGAGGGGTGGGTGGCGAGGAGGCAGCCCCTCCATCTGCCAAGGCTGAGCAACAGCCTGGGGTGGGGGGGTGGCAGGAAAGGGAGCAGAGGCCTCAGAGTTTCAGGGACACAATCCTGAGTCCTAGACCACGACCCCGTGAACGGGCACACCGACCCTACTGTTCTCCCTGGAGGCTCCTTCCAGAGCCCATGTGCTTGTGTGTGTGTGAGTGAGTGTGCACACATGGGTGTGCTGAGGGGCTGGCCATGAGGATGGACACACAGGTGCATGTGTCCTGGACCTGGCCCAGCCCCCCTGCCTGGCAGAGCCCTCTTCTTCCAGGCAGCCCTCCTAAAGTCTAACTCTGGTCGGCCCTGGCAAGGTGAACTTGTTGGGGCAGGGACTGGAGGCCTCTGGCCTGAGCCAGCAGAACCTAGTGCCCCCAGTCTCGCTCCTGACGTGTTCTCAGCATGAGCCTGGATCCCCACCCGACCCTGTCCTCCTGGCCTTTCGCTAGAGTGAGCAGCCTCCATGCTGGGCGGAGACCCACACGTCGTCTTGCCGACCGCTTGATAACAGGCCAGCGTTGTGGGTGTGGAGACCGGGACCCTTTTCCCCAAATCGCACACCACATCTGTATCAGTGTCCTGGGGCAGCTGTGATGGTCATAAATGGTGTGGCTTAACACAGTAGATATTTCTTCCCTCGTGGTCCTGAAGACTGGAGGCCCGAAGTCATTGTCATGGGCTGGAAATCAGGGTGTCGTCGGGCTGTGCTCCCTCCTGGGCCACATCCAGCCCGGCTTCCCACAGCCACAGCAGGCTCCTTCCTCCACGGAGCCTTTTCCTTCTGGGTTTTTGTATGTGTGTGTGAAGATTTTATTTATTTATTTGACAGAGAGAGACACAGTGAGAGACGGAACACAGGCAGGGGGAGTGGGAGAGGGAGAAGCCAAGTTCCTTCTGAGCAGCGAGCCCAAAGCGGGGCTCGCTCCCAGGACCCCGGGATAACAACCCGAGCCAAAGGCAGACGCTTCACCGACTGAGCCCCCCAGGGGTCCCAGCCTCCTCCTCCTCAGGAGGGTCTTTGCCCCCAGGCTACGGGCCACCTGGGTGATCCAGGGTGATCTCAAGATCCTGAGACACACCTACCAAGAGCCTTTTTTCTAAATAAGCCCCCACCCACGGGCGCTGGGAGGTGGCCCTCTCTCTCCTGGGGCCACCATCCCACCATGGCCATGTTGTGGCTCACATAGGATGGCAGCAGGTTGGGCTTCTGGCTCCTAGGACAAAGTCCACTGGCCCAGGGTGAGGGTATCCCAACCAGAGCAGGCCTGGGGGCAGGAGGAGAGCCACAGTGACCTGCCAAGACACAGAGAGCAGAGGGCAAGCCAGGGTTGCTCGCTCAGACCCCATGGTGTTTGCTTGCGTGTTCAGCACCGAGACCCTCCTTGTGGCTTGCCCATCACAGCACAGAACCGCAGGCTGGATCGGACCGGAGCCAGCAGAGATGGAGGGACACAACCAGGGACAAAGCTGTGGGCCTGTGCTGCGCGTCCCTCCTTGCCGCTGTCTGGGGCAGGCTCATGGTCAGCTTGGGGGCTTCAGCCGGTGGCATCCCCTCCTGTCCACATGCCTTCTCAGCTGCTTCCAGGGAGGTGGGGGCTGGGTCCCTGAAGGAGGGGCCGTGCCAGGGTGGGAGATGGGGCCGCGGGGCACAGGCCAGGGTTGTGCAACTTCCTGAAGCCAGGGAGCCAGACCCCCCGTGTGCAGCGCCAGAAGGAGAGGGGGCCAGGCCGACTTTGAAGGGGAGCCTGTGTCCCGCAGCCTCCCCAGACTGGGAGCTTTTGAAAGAACATCTGGAACACGGGCGACTGGCAAACTCGGCCCTGGATTGGAAAACCAAAAAGTTCATCCCGACTTTGCCACTTGTGTGTTCCCCACCCTGACCACCCGCTCCTCTCTCCCCACCCCCTTTCCCACCTCTGCCTCTCTGCAGGCGCCAGAGACCACATGGGGGGTCCATCCAGCCCCTCATGCCGACCCTTCAGAGGGCCCCTCCCTCCTCCACGTCCCCTCCCTCAGGGGTCCCTCCATCTGCCCGGCCCGTGGAGCAAGGGGAGGTGGTGGGAAAGCCGAGCGTCGCCCCGCCCGCGCCCAGACCCTGGGCAGATGCACTTCCCGTGCTTTCTGAGCCACGGCCGAGGGACAGGATGGGAGCTCGCCGGGCCCTGCACCTGGCGCTGGGCGCCAAGGGGGCGCGGGCTCACGCTCTGGCAGGAGGAAGCATCTGCGCCCAGAGCTGAAGGGTGCACTGGCCTGGCCAGCACTGGCCCCCTGCGTGTGAGGCCGCGTGTGGGCCCCCGGCCTGCAGGTGTGCAAGGAGGCGGCCTGGGCCAGCTGAAGTTGGTGCGGGAACAAACACGACCCAGGCTCCAGGAAGCAAAGCCAGTGCTCAGGGCTGGGGGAGGGGGGTGCCAGGTGCTGGAGCCCATTGTCCCTGCCAGCAGCCTGCAGGACGCTGGGGGGCTCCCAGGAGCAGTCCCCATCCTGTCCCCTCCCGAGGAAAAGACCCGGCTTTGTAAACACAGACGAAAACAAGCACCATTATCCCCCCAACCCCAGCGAAGCCCACCTCCACGGCCTTCCTCCTGAAGAACCAGCAGGGGTTAGCGCTTGCTGGGGGAAGTGAGTCCTTGTTTGGGGGGAAATGGGAAGGTCAGGACCTGGGAAGGGGAGTGCATTGTGGGGGAGGTGGGCCAGCTTGGGATTGGACGTTGGTCCCTGGGTCACTTCTGGGCTGTGGCTGGGGTTTTTGTTTGTTTGTTTGTTTTAAGTTCTTTTTTTTTTTTTTTTTAAGCAATCGCTCCATCCAATATGGGGCTTGAGCTCACGACCCCGAGTTGGAGAAGTGCAGGCTCTTCCCGCTGAGCCCACTGGGTACCCTGAGCTGTGTCTCCAGGGGACCTCTGCTCACGTCTGTGCAGCCGCACAGCCTGGCTCTGTGGGGTCCTGCCCCTAGAGCCTGCTTGGGACCATTGTCCCCTGGGGGGAGGTGGCTGGGGCTCCTCGCCAGGTGCGCAGGCCCCGTCCTCCAGTGCACCGGGCCTGTGCGGGGCGTGAGGCCAGGGGTCCCCAGCTGGGGCCCAAGATAAGCACCGCACCCAGCGTCCACTTCCTGCTCCTCCTTGCATTGCCGCCGCCGCGCACCCCTTCCTGTTTTCTCGGCACGCAGGCTGGCAGGAACGTGGGATACGGGGCGGGGTCCTGGGGCACAGGTTTGGGTAGTGAGGGTTGGGGCTAGGGTGGTGGGGCGTGAGGCAGGGTCATGGAGACAGAGCTGTGTCCTGGGGGGCAGAGTGGGACCCCAGCCGACATGTGGAGGGTGGGGAGCTCCCAGTGCGCTGAGCCAGCCCACTGAACCTGTCCACGAAGGCCTACAGGTGGGGAGGGAGCCCGAGCAGATTTGTGCACACAATGAGGAGGAGCCTTGGCATTCCCACGGCTCTCTCCCCAATCCTGGGCCTGGAATTCCCACACCCCTGTCTGAGACCCTCTGTGGATTGGAGCCTGGTCCTTGGGGCCCCTTCTCAGCCTGGGGCAGGAGTGGGGTAGGATGTGGGGAGGACTGAGACTGAGGCTTGGGCTGGGCTGTCGGGTTTGCAGGTCAGCTGCTCCGGACCTCCCTTCTGGGGGCAGCTGCTGTAGCATAGGGCTCTGATGTGCTTAGCCCACCTGCCCACAGGTATAAATGTGTGCAACTTTCATGAAAACACACATGTCCACACAAAACCGCTGTGCCCGAGTGCTCGCCGTAGCATGACTCACAGTCGCACAGCAGGGCGACAGCCCAGCGCCGTCGGCCGGCGCGGTCTAGTCACGAAGAGGAGTATGGTTCAGCCTCGCAACGAACGAAAGACACGACACCATGGACGAACCTTGAAGATGTCACACTCAGTGGGCAGAGCCACACTCCTAATGCACGTACGGTTTCGTTTCTGTGACATGTGCAGGTCAGGCCAATCCACAGAGAAGGGGGCGGGGGTTCCGGAGGGCTGCGTGTGGCCGCTCACCCCGGAGGGCTTCTTGTCAAGGAGAACGTTGGGAGGAGAGTCGTGGAGGCCACGTGGCCTTACAGCTCTGTCTCCAAGGGCAGACTCCAGGGCAAAGCTGCCCTGACTTGGCTGCCCGAGTGCTGGGCAGGTCTTGTAGGGTGTGGCTCAGCGGCTGGATTGTCCGGGTGCGTGTCCAGCTGAGAGGAGCTGCTGTAGGTCCGTCCTTGCCCATGCGGGGGTAGGGCATCTGAGCACAGCCTGGGCCCTGATGTGCCTCCTGGTAGGCTGTGCGGCTGAAGGTGTGTGTGGTGTCCCCAGGTGTGTCTACTGGAGAGAGGGTGCCCCTAACCCGTTCCTTGCCCCCGCCTCCCTGACTTCCTCCCCTGGGCTGTTTGCTGGGGAGGGCACGACACCTGGGCCCGGCTGGGACCTGGGCGTGGGAGCTGTAGCCCTTGCCAGCCAGGGCTGCTGGGACTTCCCGCCAGGCCCTAGGCCGCCAGGGTCTGTTCCTGGCCAGCCTGACTCAGCGGGGGCTGGGGGTGGGGACTTCCCTTCTCTGACCCTCCTGGAGGCAGGTGGGTGGAGCCAGGAGGGTGAGCGGTGGGAAACCTGACCCAGGGCTGGAGCCCCCAAGGCCCTGGGGCTGTGTCCTACACAGGGGCGGGTGTGGGGGGGCACTGCTTGCTCCTGAGGGGGCCAAGGCAGGCCCCTCAGGGCCCCAGGCAGGGTGCTGGGCCGGGGTCCTTTGAGGAGACCCCTCCCCGCCCTCCTTTGCCAAGCCACCACTGTGGAGGAGCTGCTATTGGAAACAGCTGCTCTCTGTGGGAGGCCCTCTCCTGTTCCCATTCTGCTCCTGGACTCCTCCAGCCCCTGGCCATGGGGCCTGCTCGAAATTGGGCCCCCCACTGCCCTCCCACGGGGGGAGGGGCTTCCAGGTGTCAAGCTCTCTGCCTTCTCCCTACTGGGGCAGTGGTGCCTGCTGTCCCCCTGGGGGGCACCCGTGTGGCTTCCCATCCTACTGACCCCATGGGCCCTGGAAGGGTGGACCCTCTGGGTGGGGCGGTCTGAGGAGCCCAAAATGGGGGAGGGGAGACTATTATTCCAGCCTGTGCCTGGAAACAGAGGAGACACAGCTGGCCATGTCCGCTCATCTACCACCCTCCCCTGCATGTCCATCCCCGCGGTGTCTCTGCGGTGGGACAACAGGTGGGACCCGGGACAGTGGTTCAGCCTAGGCAGGGAGGTCCTCAGTGGGGCTTGTTCACACAAGGGGACAATCTGGACTGGTGCTGCCTCCTCTCTGCCCTGGCCAGTGGGTGCAGCATGTGGAGGGGAGGTCCACACCTGGGTCAGAGGCTCCTGGGTCCCCACAGTGGGGCATGCTTTGGCTCAGCTGACGCAGGACACTAGGGGGCGGGTCAGCTGTCCCACCACTAAGGGGCGGGCCCAGAGCAGAGCAGAAGTTTGGCCACAAGAGCTGGTGACCTACACTCACGGGCCCTGCACGTTGGTCTCCACGCACGAGCCCGGGACTCGGCACTGCGGCCTCAGTGCCCTCCCCTCCAAGCCCATGACAGACGTGGCCGGACTGGCCCGACCTTTGTGCCTCCGTGTCCCTGCCGGGCACCATACTTATTACGTATACTCGGAAGGAGCAGACAGTGTCCTTGGTGTCCTGTGGACTATATCTGTCCCCCCACCCACCCTGGGTGTCTCTCTGCACTTGTGAGTTCATCTCCCGCCTTGCTTGTCTGGTTCATGCCTCTGGCTCTGTCTTTGGATTTTCTGGACCAGCTGCTGATGGGGTGGGGCTGGGGGGCTCAGGTACAGCGGTCACCCTGCTCTGTCTGCTCGGTGGGGAGCTCTGGCCAGTCAATGCAGAGGTGACATCACTGCCCCCGAGAGGCTGGATACCTGTAAAAACAGTCCCACAGCCTGTCCACCGCCTCCCCCCCACATACACAGAGGGAGCAGCCCCAGATGTGGGGACACACACACTCAGCCACAGACTCGGGACAGACACACACAGACGCACAGGGTCACGTGGTCATCCTCATGGATGCCCCCGTGGTCACAAGGTCACAGCCATGCTGGGAGCCTTCTGCACACACATGCCTGGGTAGCCGGCTCACTGGCCGTCCTAGAGCACAGGCAGTATCTGGAGAACCCCGTGACTCCCAAACACACAGGACACTGAGCTGTGAGCGACCTTTCCACATCAGGGTGTCAGCGATCAGCTCCCCAGTGAGGGACTGGGGACCAAGGAATCTGGAGAGAGGGGTGTCCAGTTCTGCTGCAAGTGGGGAAGGGCTCATGTGAGAGGCCTGAGCCTCCCTGCTGGGTCGTTGACCTTCTGTCCCTAGTAGAGCCTGGAGAGGCTATTGTGGGGAGCAGCCATCATGCTGCTGCCCCCTCTGGGGACTCTGGTTTAAAAATGACAGACGGGGCCCCAGGGTGCCATGTCTGTTACAGCTGTCACAGGCCAACCCCCTTGGAGAGGCGGACAGACCTGAGCAGTAGTGCCTGGGTTTGAAGAAAGTTTTAGTTATGTATTTATTTTTATGTATGTATGGTATGTAGTTATTTAGAAGAAAATTTTAAAGAGACGAGGATGACGAAACATGGGTGGGGTGTGGGGGGATTTCTGACCCCTATTAGGCTTCAGTTAAAATGGGGGGAGGGACAGAAGGGGAATGGAAGTCTGGGAGGGTGGGAGAGCACCCACACCTCATGCGTCCCGCCAGCTCGTTCTGCCAGCTAGCCTGGAAGGTTGGAGAAGTGGGTGCTTTGGGACCCAAGCTGGGGGGCTCTGTGGGGGAAGGGCACGGCCAGGGTCATTGAGTGCCCCTCTCCCCCTTCCCCCAACGACCACAGACTCGGGTGTTCAGAGGAGAGAGCCAGTCACTTTATTGTGGCCTCGCCTGGCTCAGGGGCGATCCAGCTCCTGCTCCTGCTTTAAGGCAGACAAACAGTGGTACTCTTCATATTTAAAAAGCCTCGCTACATGGGTGCTTTTGGTCACTGAAACCCCTTGGAAGAAAAAGTTTAAAAGTTTAATTAAAAATTAAATATATTGTATTAAGTATATAAAAAAGGCGAAGTAAAAAATACAGCCTGGTTCCAGAAAATACACTGCCAGAAAAGAGTGAGACGCTTCAGGAACTGCCCCGGCCAGGCCAGCCAACAGGTCCTAGGCCTGGGCTTCCTGGAAGAGCCCCAGGACAGGCGGGAACCGCCCTTGCAGGGCGCCCCGGCGCGGCCGAGCCCTGCGCCTGCGAGAGGGACAGAGCGGGGGTGCACAGCAATACAGTCGCGCCCGCGGCGGGAGCAAGCGGGGCGCGGGGCCGCCGGCCGCCTAGCCCGAGATGCAGGCGCTGTAGTAGACCGCGCTGCTGGCGTCGGACAGCGCGGCGATCAGGCTGCTCTCCTCGGGGCAGGACATGGCCCGCGGGCCCAGCTTGGCCAGCGCCACGTGGTACGGGAGCCCGGCGGCGTCGGGCCGAGTCCGGCTGCAGTTGAGGTACTGGTCGAACTCGGTGAGGTCCACGTCGGCCCACAGGTCGGCGGCGGGGCCCAGCGTCTCGGCGGCCTCGGGCGGGGGGGCCTCGGGCGGCGGCGACAGCGGGCCGGGGTACGGGCCCGGTGCGGGCGCGCCCAGGGCGCCGTAATAGAGGCCGGAGAGCGGCGCGGCGGGCGCGGTCCTGAGCGCCTCGGCCAAGGGCGCACCGTAGCAGCCGCCGGGGTCCCTGGGCAACTCGGATGGGGCGTAGGGCGCGCGGAAGGCTCGCAGCGCGCAGTCCTCGGGCGCCGCGGGGGGCGGGAAGAAGGCGGCCTCTCCGGGCTCCAGGCCGTCCAGCGGCGAGCGCTCGGGCGTGGGCAGCCCCAGGCCGTCGAACTCGGCGCCCAGCGGCGGCAGCTCGCGGAAGGCGCGCGCCGAGACAGGCGCCGCGGGGAAGGGCTCGGGCGGCGGCGGCGGCGGCGGGGGCGGGGGCGGCGGGGGCGCCAGGCCCGGGAGCAGGAGGCCGGGCTCCAGCCGCCGGGCCTTGCGCGCCTGCTTCTTGCGGCGCGGCCGGTACTTGTAGTTGGGGTGGTCCCGCAGGTGCTGCACCCGCAGCCGTTCCGCCTCCTCCACGAAGGGCCGCTTCTCCGCCGCGCTCAGCTCCTTCCACGCCTTGCCTGCGGGGTGCGGGCGCGGGTCAGCTGCCGTCGGGCGGGCGCGAGCCCCCGGGGGCGCACCGCGAGGGTGGGGCGCGGCCCCCTCCCCCGCCCGCCCCGGCCCAGCCCCGCTCCGGGTCCCCCCCCCGCCCCCCGCCCCGCGCCCGCCCGCCCCCGAGCCCCTCACCCAGCATCTTGCTGAGCACCGCGTTGTGCAGGTCCGGGTTCTGCTGCGCCAGCCGCTTGCGCTCGTCCTTCGCCCACACCATGAAGGCGTTCATGGGCCGCCGGATGCGCGACTCGTCGGCCGCCTGGCGCTCCCCGCGGCCGGCCGGGCTGAGGCCATAGCGCCCCGGCTCGGGGCTGCGCGGCGGGCTGCGCGGCGGGCTGGGCGGCGAGGCGGGGGCGGCGGGCGCGGCGAGGGCGGCGGCGGCGGCAGGGAGGCCGCGCGGCTCAGCGGCGGCCCCGGGTCCCGGGGCCCATGCACAGTCGCGGCGGGCGGGCGGGTCGTCCTGTGCGCCGTAGCCGGGCGGCGATCTCTGCATTCCAGCTGGGCGCGGCCTGGGCGGAACGGAGCGCGGGAGCGCGGCGACCGGACAGCGGGCACTCGCGGGGCGGGCGCGGAGGGCGCGGCGGGCGGCGGCGGAGACTGCGGTGGCCTCCGGCCGGGTGGGCGCCCAGATATAGCGGCGCGGGGCCAATCGGCGGCGGGCCGGGCGGGGCGGGGCGGGCTGGGGCCGCCCCCTCCCCGGGGGCTCCCTTTCTTCTCCGACCCGGCGGATTCCACCGCAGCCTCCTCCGCGCAGCGGCCCCCGCGCCCTCTCTGAGCGAGGGACCCCCTCCAGCCGCCTCACCCCGAGTGCGAACGGGCCGCTCCCGTGGGCTGGAGCTGGGGAGGGGGCATCCTCATGGGGGCTGTCGGGCTCTCAGAGACGAGCTGCCGTCCCCACCCACGGAGTCAGACCCCCGGACCGTCTCTGGGGGAGGGCGGTCGCTCCCTCATGAAATTACACTGGGAGGAGGAGAGGGGCGTATTTTAACCCATGTTCTTGGAAGGCTTCCCAAGAAGCCTTCTTGGGGTCTAGCTCAAAAGAAGGGGGCACTCTGGAAAAAGTTCCCTGTCTCTGGGGGGAGCGTGTCCTGGGTAACCGCAGTGCATCACGTCCCCAACCCTACACACACATGTGGAATTTTCACCACTGGGGGCTCCAAGGCCCCCTGTTTGTCCATGGTGTTCCATGCCTCGCTCACAGAGCCCACTCCAGACGGGGAGAACCTGAGCGCTGGACACCCTGGACCCACAGCGGAGTGAAGGAAACCCCAGGGCGTGGGGACCTCCACGGAAGGTGCAGAGTCCCAGGCCTTGTCCCCCGCCCGCGGCCTGCTGGGGTCAGGGGCTGGGACCATCCGCACCTGGCCGCCCTGCCGGGCTCCTGCCTCTGCCAAGCAGTAGAGTGAGGCCAGAACCAGGGGTGGGGGAGCGGGAGGGCAAGGGGGGCCTGCCCTGGGCCTGGGCGGGTTTCCAGAGGAGCTTCGGGCCTCCTCCAAGTCTGGAGGGGACCTGGGCTACAGGAACTGGGGGGTCTGAGGGGTCTCTCCCAGGACTTTTGCCCTGCTGAGGATGGGATGAGTGTGCTCAGCGGCTCTGGGGGCCTTTTCCCTCCCAGACATCCACTTACAGCCCAGGATCTGTGCGGCCCTGCTCCCCTCCTCACCAAGTGCTGGGAGCTCCACATTTCGGGGCCCAGGTGTCAGTGACCCTGGGCTTGTGTGGCCAGAGGCTCTCAGTCCTCTAGCCCTTTTAGTGCTGTGAATGGGGCGGATCCTCCAGCTCCGCCCCGCAGGCAGCTCCTGAGCTGCCCCCAGGAGCCCTCCCGGTTTGAGGAAAGGCCAGCACCCCCACAGAGGTCCCTCAACCTGAGGGCTGCTGGCTGTCCATCCTGTCTCTGCGTGGGGTTCTGTCATGTAAGGCCTCATCTGACGGCTGGAGGAGTGAAGCCCTGGGTGTCCCGGACTGGTTTCGAGATCCCTGAGACCCCACAGCCTCATTCACCACATAGAACTGGGCTGATGTACTGGGGGCCATCAAGGCACCAAGGCGTGGATTCTCCGGGTCTAGGGGAAAGCTCAGCTTTTCCCGGGAGGCAGGCGAGGGTGGGGGGCCCTGGGGTGGGCAGGTGCACAGTCCTCTCCCAGTGGGGCCAGCTCCGGCCTGGCCAGTGTTAGTGGGTGGACTGGGCACCATGCAGGGGTGGGAGGAGATGTGTGAGCAGGACTCCAGGCTGAAGAGAGGGTCCAAGGAGCCAGCACCTGCTAGAGACGGCCTTTACCCTTCCAGGTGTGCTCCGAGCTCACCGGCGCCTGGCTTAGCCTGGCCGGGAGCCGGTCTGGGTTGGTGGTCCCTGGGGCTTGGGAGGGAGCCTTGAGGGTCCTCCACTGCAACCTCCCCCCACATTAGGATGGATCTAGGCTGATCCAGCATTACCTCACCACGGCCGCGGTCCCTTCCAGCCCCCCTCCAGCCCCCCCCCCTCCAGGAGAGCCACCTCGCCCAGCACCAGCCAACGACCCTCCCTCCTGGCAGAGCTGTGCTGCTCAGGTATCCAGCTGTCCTGTCCTGTGGGCTGAGGCTGGGCAGGGCAAGAGGAGAGCCTCCTGGGGTGGCTTCCTGCCTCTTCGGAGTCAGGCTGTCTTTCCCTGTGCGCGTGCTGCCTGCTCAGGGTGAGGATGGTGGCTCTGACCCACTGTCCAGATGGGAAGGCAGTGGGGGGTGGGAACTGCAGTGGGGGTGGCCCTGCCCCCAGAGCCCCGGGCTGGGGGACTCCCCTGGGCTATGCAAGGGCTGGTGGGGGTGTGGTCAGCGGTGCCTGGGGGAGGGGCGTCAGATGTGTGTGTCTGTGCGCTTGTGTGTGGTCTGTGTGTGTCTGTGTGATGGGGAAGGTCTGTGTCTGTCTGCTGGAGCGTCTAGCGCTGGAGTCTGCCCACAGCCTTAGGAGCCAGGTGGCGGCCGGACTCTGCCACAAGAGGGGGTCCCACAGGGTAGAATGGGGGTCCTGCTCAGTAAAACCCTCACCCTCAACACCCACCAAGGGGGCGGTCCCCAACAGCACAGCTCCATCCAAAGTGGGGGTGATTCGTGAGTCTGGGCCATTCCTGTGCGTCTAGAACCGACCTTGGGCTGGCCTGGCCCAGGTTGGCTCCTGCCCACCCTTATGGGGGCCCTGTGTGCAGCCCCCAGTGCCCCAGACAGAAAGGTGGAGTAGAGGGGCATGCTTTCTCTGCAAGTGTGGGGCCAGGCTGAGTGCTGAGTGGACACTGCCCTCCCTGGCCTCCAGCCGTGCCCTCGATCAGCCAGGACCAGACCCCTAGGCTCTGGGTGAAGCCTGCAAAGGATGCTGGGCAGTTCCCCTCGGTGGCTGTGGGTGGGGGATTGGCTGGGCTCTGGGAGTGGCAGACCTCCCAGGCGCTGCCCGGGGCACAGACCTCACAAGCTCCCACCCGCCTGGCCCTGGCTGCTGTAGGAGCGGGAGTCTGGGATCAATTACTGAATCCCTCGGGGCCGGACCCTCCTTCTGTTGGAAGGTGGGGGTAGGGTCCCCATCAGACACAGGTCCAGGTGGAGGGGAGTCTTCTGTGTCCTGAGACGTTGGCTTGGAGCCGGATTGCTCCGTTCGAATCCCACCTTGGTGTCCTTGAGACCAGGAGGCTCTGGGCCTAGCCCTCATCCTGGTGCAAGGGCTGGGGTTGGGGGTGGGGAAGGCAAGGTGCCGGGTCAGCCTTGACTTCTGTCCAGGGGTCAGGGCTTCAGAGGGAGCTGCCCAATGGCCTAGAAGCATATGCGCGCATGTCCCTCCCCAAGTGACAGGCCGGTCCAGGTGGACGCTGGGACTCGTGCCCCGCCCCGTGCCTTCTTGCTCTCAGCCCCAGGATGCTGGGCCTGGTGTGCACAGCGTCACCGGGCCTCCCAAACGCTGTGGGCCTTGCTCCCGAGAAGGGGTCGGGGGGCAGGCGTGGGTGTGGGCTCAGCGGCAGCAGCTGTCACAAGGGTCAGGCTTGGCGGCTGCGGCTTATTGGCCCCTCACGGGAACCCGGGTCTCGGGCCGAGCTAGGTGTTTTGGGAACTAGGGTGTCAGTAGTCTCGTGGGGGTGTCAGACTGGCGGAGGGTCTGGAGCAGAGGGGACATGGTGCGGTCGCTGTGGGCGTTTTGGGTGTGTCGGGGGGATGGGGGCCCGCGGGACGGAACAGGTGGGGGCTTCTCCGGGAGAAGGGGCGCAGGGACTTGTGGGTGTGAGGAGGGTGGTGTGGGTCCCGTGGCAGGAGGCACTCCGCCCCAGGCGTCCAGGGCTGTTGTTGTAGAAGGGGGGCTGTTGCTCCTGCAGAGTTGGGCCGCTGGATGCGGGGAGCCCCGGGGTGGCGTGGGGTGGCCCTGTGGGTCCTGGGGGTTTCAGCAAGCTGTGTGGGCCCTGCGGGCACAGCAGGGGCTCCATGGGAACCAGGCTCTAGGTTTCTGTGGCAACAGCAGGGCGGGGCCAGGAAACGCCAGCTCAGGAAGGAAGGCCACAGCTGTGAGGAGGGAGCCGGCCGGCCTGGCTGAGCAGGCGCCAGACACTCTGTCTGTCCAGTCGTCCGGCGGGCCCGGAGCTCCTGCCCCAAGCCCTGCCTCCCCCCCACCCTGCAGACCCCCCGATCTGCGCCCGGGGCCCCTGCGACCATGGCTGTCTTTATTCCAGGCAGCGCACCCGGGGTCTGGGTGGGCAGGTGTCCTAGGCCAGCAGGAGCTGGGCCCCACTCCCCTCGGGGCTTTTGGAGGAGCAGAGCTGGGGCTGTCTGGGTGTCCCGGGCAGTGCCCACCCTGACCTCCTTGCCTGGGCTGGCCTGGCCTCTCTCACTCTCCTGCCAGGCTCTGGTGACAGTCCTCAGCTGCCCTGGGAGGGGCGCAGAGAAGGAGCAGAGCCCCCCGGGGGCCCTGCAGCTTGTGTTTCTTTGCTGCTGCCCTAGGTTTGCGACAAGCGGCTTTGATGGCCCAACCAGCTGGGGCTGCCAAACAGGCTGGGGGGCAGGCCTGTGTTCTTGGGGACCACCCACCCCTTCTTACTCAGGGGCACGAGTCATTCATTCGTACATTATTGAGTGCCTGCTGTGAACTCAGCTCTGCTCTAGGAGACAGTGAACAAAACAGACCCAAGTCCTTGCCTGGGGAGGGGGCTCCTGTTCTGCTGGATAGGGACAGTCAATAAATCCAGAAACAAGGCAAAGTATGGGGTGCCGGGCTGCAGAGTGTGCTCTGGAGAACGGTGCTGCCGGCTGTGGGGGAGGGAGGGGCCGTGTCATGGGTGCGCATGGCCTGTCACTCTGTAACGTAACTTTTGAGACCATCCCAGAAGGGAACGTGTACAAGAGATGAGGGGATACCTGGAAAAGAGTGTTGTACACAGTGGGAGCTGCATGTGCAAAGGCCCTGGGGCAGAGAGGTGTGCTGATATAGGGGAAGAGCAGGGAGTGCAGAAGGGAGGGGACAAGGAGCTGTGTGAGGCCTGGGGGGGTCTGAGGGAGAGTTGATGACTTAGGAGGGTTTTGAGCAGAGGAGGGTGTGATGTGACTTAGCTTTCTACAGTCTCAGTGGAGCTGCTGTGTGGAG